TACGGCTTTCTTGTATAGGCAATGAAAAGAATGTAAGAAATACCGAGGATATGAGAGAGGCGAAGACTAAATCCTAAATGATAATAAAAGCAGATGAAGATACCACCAGCATGAAGTTGATATATAAGTGACAACAAAACCATGAGTGAAAATGTCCTGACAACAAAAAATAAGACTCGAAGTCGATCGCTGTTACTAGAACTTGATCAACACCGCCATATTATTATGGACATTTCAGCTCCTGCCACCAAGCTCTTGCTGTGTTGCTTCTCTTTCTAGTATGTCAAGAGTTTCCGGGTGCAATTCTCGCACGTAGTATGAAGTTCATATGAATTCTACATCTTATGTGAATAGTATAGGATCTTGTATATCTCCGTCCTGAAGTTTATGAAGCGAATTAACATTGATGCTTCGCTTCTTCAAGACAAAAACAACTTGTAACTCATTCATTCACTCATGTGACCTTCCATTACCAGGATTCCTCTCGTTCTCTTCTCCTCTTCTCTTTCCTTGACTCATCCACTACTAGTGGCATCTAATTCACCTTCGATCCTTCTCCTCTCCTCTCCTCCTCTTCTCTATCCTCATCCACCTCCCCTTATAAATAAAGCTACTTCCCAGATTTCCAATCGTTCTATATCGATTCTTATAGAAAGCTAGATGAACGACCTTTCATTCTAATTCCCAATTCCTATTCGAAGGAATGGTTTTCGAAAACCCCCTGTCTACGTGAGTATATACCGCAGATAAAACATAATATTAAGAAAAACCCAAAAGAAATATTCTTCAATGATTGCTACCATTTTTTACAATCAACAGTAGAAAAAAACAATCACAACAACAAAAAAGCCCCAAACAAAAAATATAACCCCAAATACTAATACCCTTTCCACATCCCATACTCCCATTTATACTACCTCCTCCCATCCCCATATTTCCGTCCCGCAGGGCACTCCTTACCACAACTTCACTAGCTTGTTTCTTTGGAAACAGGTCATCAAGAAAACAAGAATCATCCTCTCATTTTATAGATCCCCATCTGGGCTTGAGTTTCCATAAAGACTATTCAATATTCACTAAGTCTTTGCAGTTGTTCACATCTCCGCCCACTCTCCTCTCTACCTCTGCTCCAGAGAGAGAAAGTGGGATAAGAAGATCCAACCAACCTCCTCGGACTTCTACTTCCAGACCTGTGGGATCATAAAGAAAATCGAGATCATCCCTATACAGAACTGCAATATCCAAGAATCACAACTTGTGATCTCTCGTAGTGACTCGTGCTGACATTCTCGTGATAACAGAGAAAACAAAGGGTAGAATAGGGGAAGGAAGATTAGAGTATTCGTATCATCAATCTATCCGCTTGGATATATCTCCAACATCCAATCTTTTCCATCTATTCTCTTCACCCACCTCCCTGATCTCTTCTCTCCAAAGTTCAAAAGAAGAAATTACTATATATACATCTAGACCCCCCATCGTCCCCTTCTTGAAATGCTCCTAATCCCCAAAGCAGAACCTGATCCAAATCACATCTAACATCTTCTCACACACGCGATGAATAGTCCCAAAGAATAAGATGCCAAAATCTCACGACACCAATCAAACGTCGCCATGATGAACAGAGCAAGAACCAGGGAAACTCGAGAAACAAGACCCCCGCCAGAAACAAAAATAAGAACACACACATCCCCATCTTCATCCCCAAACCCATCTCATCATTTCCCAATCTTTCCCCCCCCCCACACACACGGAACCTTTCTTTGAATCCTCTCCCAAGAACCCCAACTTGTAGATGGTATAATATAATATAGTATATCGTGTCATTCAATCACTACTCCCTCATACTCTAATCTATCCTCTAAAACTCCAGCCAATCCCTCGAAATTCCTACCCCTAATCGTATCTCAAGCCTCAACACCTCAACACCTCATCTCAACACCTCACCTCAACACCCCCTCACAAACCCCCTCACAAACCCCACCATATTTCTCTTCTCAAATTCAGTTTAAGCAAAGAGGCAAGAGAAAGTCAGCATAAAGACTATGAATAAGATACACGAGAGAGTTTAATCAGACTTAAAGTTCGAGTAACGAAAGAGATTATATGAGTCTTTATCACAGACGTTAAGTAGAAGGAGACGCGACAAGAATAAAGAAGATATACACAGAGTTGAGGTGGAAAGTTTGTGTGAGACTTTGTAACAGATTTAAATCGTAGCGTTTGCTGCGGGCGTGGAGCGAAAGGAATTGAGAAGAAAGAAGAAAGGAAGAAGAGAAAGAGGATACAGATTTCAATATAAAAACCATCAAATGGCGAGAAGTGAACTATTCAATACTGACAAAGAAAAACAATATATGCATACATATGCTTACCCCTGACCCATCTTATAACAAGTGAAGATATAAAGACCCGTCTATTTTCTATAGTCCCGTGGGTAAGAGATCCATATATACATTTTACTTTTCTACTTCCATCTCCCATTAAAGAGATATGATATGATATGATATAACATAACATAATAACCACCCAGCACCCCAAACTATTTTACACTGGTACAGCTTTTATTTCTACTCCCTATTGATGAGCAGCTGGGAGAGATTCCAAGTATCTATCTATCTATTTATACAACCATACTCAATATGGGGTTTAAGTATGATACCTAGACAAGTTACTATTATATTATTTATGAAAGGAATAACTTAGTTGGTATATAGTATCTAATCCAACGGAAGGAGTTTCCGGGGTTGAAGTTTGAGTTTGAGTTTGAATTTCAGTGTGAGTTTGAGTTTATGGATGAGGAAGGGGGACGAGGAGAGGAAGTGAGGAGTGGGAATGAGGGAGAGAAGGACGGGGATGAGGGATGAGGGAGTATTAGGTGGTAGATGAGAGTGAGATAGGAGGGAAGATGAGATGTATGAGGAGAGAGATAAGAGAGGTAGATAAAAGATGATAGATGAGAGAGTCAGATATAAGGCGACATGAGTGATGATATCAGCTGAATGTTTGACAACAGGAATATGAGAGAATCTAGTGATTTCAGTAACGAGTATCCGACACCGGATAAATCTCATTTGCCAAGCAAGAGTAATTGCCTACGTATGTATATACAATTGAAGAAACATGTAATCTCACAACAGCCAATTAGAATAATTGCGGTAAATAGCAATAGAGGAAAATTATGATAGAATCATGAATCGATCCCTCTGATATGGGAAGAAAAAAAAAAGAAAGAAACAACTCTCCTACCCTCCCTCATGGCTTTAACCGATATCAACAACCGCGACTCCAGCCCGAATTTTTTTCTAGCTATGAAGCAATCCCCATCCCATCTTCATCCCCATCCTCATCACACAGCGATCTACACCCATCTATCCCAAGATCCCCAACCCGATTATCGGGAGCAATCCGTCATCTATGATTTCACATACAAAAGAGCCAAGAGCGAGCATTACAAATTCAACACTGAACAGTGGCAATCCTATACCTATCTAAGAACGACTATAACCCCGATTTTAGCACACGGTTTGTTCCATAAAGATCGACTTGTGAAGTTGTCATTCTCGAACTTTCAACGTTGAGCAGCTACATCATAGAAAGAAAAGCCGGTATGGTATCATTGGTATGTAAATGATCAACATCAATACCAATACCAACACCGTTACTCTCCAAACATCTGACGTACGTCTTCCCAAGTCCCCACAAACAGGTGCAAGAGAGAAAAAAAAATTCTTTCTCCTGGAATGATTCTTCCAGATTCCGAAGAAGATATGCACTGTCATGCAGCCTTGCAGTAGGGCTTACACTAGGGCATCACTAGCTCGCATCCGGATATCCACAATGAACCCTCATCAAGTTCCATAAGGCCGACACTTGACAATTTAGCATTCGGTGAGCAGATTTCTAGTGTTGGGCCCCCTTGGATGGTGAAAATCTGGTAATTCTAGACCGAGTAGTTCATGTGCCATGTGGCTATTGGGCTAAATGTCGAAACGTACCCCACCCCTCAAGCCGTTTCAATGGCACAATCGATGATCTGATCGATAACCTAATTGATAAGCTACTAGTGGTTACCCGACAGGACAATGTACGGAGTAAAGTAAATACTAACCAGACGCTACGCACTACGTGGACAACTTGTATGTATGCGGAAACAAAGCTTGAATCCGAATGGTGAGCGAGATTGTCGGGTCCAAGGTACTTTCCTCTAGACTCCATTCCATCATGCTGTACTATGCAAGCAAGAAAATTCTTGGAAAGTTCGGAAACTTCCGCGTTCACATACTCCGTAGAGAATCCAAACAATTCCAATTTTCACCCAAGAAATCCGAGCATCTTCCACATTTGTGCTAGGTAACCTCAAATATGCATCTTGTGCATCTAACTTCCAGTAACTTATACATTACGTATATTCCATTCCATTCCTAAGATCCTAAGACTACCTAGGTAATAGACGCCTACTAGACTTCTACTCTAGTCCAAGCCATGAATCTCGTAATGATACTGAGTACTCACGGTACAGTAGATATTTTGGGAAATTGCTCGTAAGGACAGAAAAAGGTTTCGATATCACCAAAAGCTTGAAATCCAAAGTGGAAGAATGCGCGGGAAAGAGAGGTGGCGGAGTTAAGCTTTCAAGGATGATAGGATGGATGGAGAGGATCTTTTTTGGTTCTGCACTCAGTGCACTGATGAGATGAAAGTCTGAGAAGATTTTCTCGTACCTAACATTAGCAACGGATCGGATAATATCCGGGCCTGTGCGAGCTTTGCCAATGTATGTATCACATGATTTGCATGGAGATATTTTGAGATGGGATTGGATTGTTGGATGAGTAAGGCTTAAGGCACGGTTGCGAATAATGTTGTGATTGTGATTAATGAGTTTACCATGGATGAAAGTTTGTAAATGGAGTTTGCTTATGCTTGAGAATGCTGTTGTGATCGATATGTGAGTCTCGTCTCATGTTTCCACGTGATATTACTAGTTGGTGTTTGCCATGAAGTTTCTTTTCCGCGCGGTCTTGACCATTCGACCACCGATGAAACCAATCGGTGTCAGGAGCAGCACGAGCGGTGTTACTTACCGTCTTGCTCCAAGACGGCAGAGTAGTTTTGATATACAGCCGGACAGTCTGGTTGCATATTCCGGGGCAGTCGTGGACCAGTCGATTGAGAGAGGAGAATGGGGGACATGGATTGATTGATCTGACGGACTCCGTATACGCAGGTAGCTCTTCGGATATTCACATGTTCTCAGTTCTGGGCATCGTAAAAAGTATGGCTTTCGTGGGCCATGGCAGAGCAGGACAAGAAACACACAAGCCGTCAATTTCCATTGATGTTTCTCCGCGTCGTATTTGGGAAATCAGACCAGATCAGATGAGAAAGAAACGGAGCTTGCAATTGAGCCTTGACGACTCACGAGAGAGAACTGTTTCAAACCCCTTATCTTAGACTCGAAATACAATGTTCATCCATTGAAGGCTTTGAAGGAAGATAATCCTACGCAGAGGTCCATTCGCAATCAAAGTAAGGTTTTACCATCCAGAAATAAAGTTATGGCTGTGTTCATCCCAATCTACTTTGATGATTATGCAAGGTACCCGATCTGAGATTATTGTTATTCTCGTGGATGATACGAGGAGTGAGAATACTGCCGGCACATTGATTGACTGACTGAAAGATGACGATGGCTTCAATATGAATCAAATTGTCAATCATGACGATAACCCGAGAAACAAATTGAAGAGAAACAAGTCATCTCCCGCGAATTTTGAACCCCTGATGCGGTTTTTATCGATAATCAAAATGTTGATAACACGGACATGTGTGGAATGGGGGGAAGGGTAGTTGGTGGCTTCACAACACTTTGATAGGGCTTTGAACTTTTGAGGAAAGTCATCTTCACATACTGTAAGACCTCTCTCGGGAGATTCGGGAGTTGTTTGAAGTTTGAACGGAAAACATGGCGTTATGTATTGGATGAATCGAGTGAATGAGATGAATTGAATGATTTGGATAAATTCGCATATGGGCATCACATCACCACACCACTCATTGACGTTACCAACCACTTTACGATTGATACGGAGCACTAATGAAAAAGTTCTCGATTCGTTCCTTGATACACTTCCACTCTATCGGGGATGCAGATGGATGCAGATGGATGCAGATGCAGGTATGAAAAGTCTGATGGAAGGATTGATTATCTTAGGTAGGCTAGATGCTAGGTACCTATGTAACTATGCATAATAAGTTTGCATGCGTGGATTCTTCTTTTCGTAAACTGTACGTCTGCATAAAAAGATTTGATTGATTGATTGATTGATGATTGATTGATTGAGTCGTGACAACTCAGCTCATGGAAACGCGTTGCGTGCAGTTGGCTGGCGTTTTAGCTTGAACTGGCCATGCGATGCTATTTTACCTTTTCATCATGCAGGGGAGATCACACCTAGAACATCATACACACACATATGCTTCTCACGAAAGTAGTCAGGATTCCAGGTCGAGGCGGATAACGATATATAATTGGATGGGATTGATGAAACGGGATATTTCGTGCCTGGCTAAGCCTTTTTACGACCAAATATCTGGGTCATGTTGTTATCCTATTGGAGTACATCTTGGACGGTTGTATCACCAACGGACCGCTCCCTCTGTACAGAAGAGGGGATTTTTCAGGGGCAATTGCCTAATCAATAAAAAGTTGTACCTGGCTGACTCTTGTATTTTGCCTGGACGAGTAGTAGCATCTACGGAGTGCCGACTGATTGACTGACTGAGCCTTGGGAAAAAGTTGGGTCCAATGAGTGAAAATGGAGAAGAAATGAAAATCATCATGGGAATCAGTATCTCGGGGATTTTCTGGTGTTGATATTGAGCGACTAATGTAAAACATGAAAGAAAAAAGAAATTGTCATGTTATATCGTGGTATGTGAGGAATACCTATGCTGAGCCTCCCTCCATCGAGGGACATTCCTAAGGGTTGTCATGTCGCTAGTCAAGGGCCATGTCCTTCATGCCAATACAGAGTAGTGTGTAGTGCCGCTCATGGAAACCAAAGGTATGAACCAGTGTCGAGCCAGTGTCCAGTGTCCAGTGTCCAGTCTGTGAGTCTGTGAGTCTGTCAAATCAGACTTCAGTGGAAGCGATTGAACTGGAATGAGTTAAACTGCGGCCTAATAAGTATTTAGTAATCCTAGATCCATATTTGAGAGAGAGGAGAAAAAAAAGAAAGAAAAAAAAGGTAAAGAATTTGAATAAAACTTTGACATTTAATTGGTTCATTTCATGATCCTTGAGAATATTATTACATTACCTAGAGAAACAAAATGATGATACTCATACAATCCAATTTCACCACATGGTCCATATCGTATCTAGCTGATGTTAAAGCTCTCAGTCTCTCTGTTTCCCACACATCCCCGACCACACCTGCCCCAAGTTCCAAGATCCACTTATTAATTGGTCAATCACGGCTTAGATATATCCTTGTCGATCCACTCTTTTCCCTTCCTTCCCTCGTGTTTTCCTCTGAATCACTATCACGTTCACTAACCTATTGTGGTAAGTCGGTCCTTAGCATAATTTACACAACTCTGAATAAGTTATTATTATTATTATTATTATTATTCATCAGCACATCTCCTTCTCTCTCACTCACTCTCTCTTTCATACATAATAAATACATAATACATTACATAACACTCACTCACTCATTCACTCACTCACCCACTTCTTCTCATTCCTTTTCAAACATCTCAAAATCTCAAAATCTCAAATTTGATCAGTATCTGTCAATCCTTCAGAATACTACATTACACTCCTTCTTCCCTTTCTAAAAACAACAGCCAGCCTGTTCAACTCTACCCACTCACTGCAAGTCAGCTTGAAGCCTTCTTAAAGAATCCATATCCCTCCACAACCACATCACGGTCAATCAAAACATCTTCTCACTTCCACATTCTTTCCTTCAGCCCTACTCACCATCGAGAAATATCAGCTTTCTCACTCCTTCCTTTGAACGATCGATATCAAATCATTGAAATTGCAAGTCATTTTCACATCACACTCCCTCGAGGCTTCAGTTGAATTTCAAACTTGACTTTTGGTTTCCAAGATTCAATCCAAAGATACCCATACCCAATAAACAATCTCTCACGAACAATAAAACAAACAAATCACCGTCAAAATGAAGTACACCACTGCTATCCTTTCTGGTCTCTTGGCCGCTACCGTTGTAGCTCAACCCCACGCCCGTCATCAACATGCTGCCAGACACGAAAAGCGAGATGTTGAATGGGTTACAGAACTCGAAATGGTCACCGAGACTATTGATTATACTACCACCGTCTGGGTTTCTTCGGGCGAAATAGCTGCCGCAACCAGCAGCGCCGCTCCATCTGTTACTCCTACAACTTTGGCAACCAAGCCAAAGTCATCTGCCGCTTCTTCTACTTATATTCCAAAGTCTACTGCCGCAGCCAGCAGCTCTGAAGGAGCTGTTCTCAACCAACAACCAAGTTCCTCATATGTCGCGCCCTCTTCTTCCTCCGTCGTTTCCGTCGCTGCTCCATCCACTACTTCCGAGGTTGTAGTCCCAACCACTTCTTCTACCTCCATCGCACCAGTTCCAACCACCTCCAGCGCCGCACCAATCGTGGTCCCAACTACCTCTAGTATCGCGCCAGTTGTCGTCCCATCCTCAACTAGCATCGCACCAGTTGTCTCCTCAGTCTCGAGCGTTGTTGCCCCAGTCGTTTCCTCAGTCTCGAGCGTTGTTGCCCCAGTCTCAAGCATTGTTGCTCCAGTCTATGTTGCGCCCTCAACCAGCGCGGCTGCCCCAGCATCAACCACTGCTGCATCAGGCTCTTCTGGATCTAGCTCTGGAGTCTGCCCCCCCGGCTCTCCTTGTTCTGGAGATATCACTTTCTACGAAGCCGGTCTCGGAGCTTGTGGAATCACTACTGATGGATCCAGCTTCGCAGGTGTTGCTCTTCCAGTTGGCCTCATGGGCTCCCTTTCCAACAGCAACCCATACTGTGGAAAGACAATCACCATCAATTGTACCTCCACTGGTAAGACCACTCAAGCAACTGTCATCGATAAGTGCATGGGATGTGAGGGTAACTCCATTGATCTCACCAACTTCGCATTTGATCAACTTGCCGAAGAAGCTGTCGGCCGTACTAAAGCCACTTGGTACTTCAACGAATAAATCATCCAATCCCTATTTTCTCGACTTTCACAACTTTGATATTCTGATTTCTTCGAATACTCAAAATTAAGTCAAGAACTCAATTCTCATTCTCCTGGATATAACTATCGCCAATTTGATACACTAGAAAGAGTAGATCTCTCTCTCATCTATGGCTTTTGCATCATGACTTCTTTTTGAAAAAGATGGTCGACGAATTTCTTTGGGATATCACATCATTGGGGTGCTTTTTATTCGTGGTTGTTGGTTTGGTTCATACTCTGATTTTTGGAGAATTTTACGAGCGTTTGAGGGCAAATATCTGTGCATAGAATGGTTATGAACATGGTCAAATCATCGCATTACTTGTTTGGCTTGGCGTTCCCCCCCCGCCATGGGACTTTACGTTCATACGGTCTTCGGGAGGAAAAAGGAGCACATGCATTTCGCGATACCATAACTATGTTGTGCAATGGAAGAGATAAAAGCTTAAGTCAAAGGAAGGCGGGTGGATGTTTCGTATGGAAAAGCAAAATTTGAAAAAAGCAACATGAAAATGGAGATATATTCAGAGACAAAACAAAATGAAACCCCTGTCGGAAAGGAAATAGCTTCTTGTACATACATTACTTTACGGTAGACTTGGTGTTTTGATTTAACACGAATTTGCTATGAATTTTCATACACTTATCGCTTTGTTGGACTGTGAGTTACTTGTGATTTGGTGATTGACTAACTGACGGACTGCTGAGCGCAATTTCGATTATGCGGATGAGGGTAGGTGTTCTTGGATGGATGGATGGTAGGGATAGGCAGGCAGGTATTGTTTATGACTTTTCCGCACAGGGCGTCCTGTGCGTTCTGTGCTTTTCGTCATACCTTCTTTCCTTTCTTCCTTTGCGGCTTTCGTTTTCGGGCTAGCTGGCGCGGCCGAGAGGTTGACTGTCTTGGAAGGGCGGGAGAGAGTGAGTATGGGAGATAATGTGGGAAATGGTGTGATGGTGATGTTGATGCTGATCTTGGATATGGATATGGATATGGATATGGATATGGATCTTGTATTTGTGTATTGGTTTTTGATGGTGGTATAGGTATAGGTATAGGTATAGGTATAGGTATAGGGATTCAAATCCGGAACCGGAATCGGATTTAAAGAAAGATTTTTGAGGGAGGAGAGAGGAGAGAAGGAGATGAGATTTCTGTGTGAGGAGAGGAGAGGAGAGGAGAGAGGAGGAGAGTATGTGAGTGAGTACGTGGATTTAGAGAAAGAGGAGAGGAAGGAAAGGATTGAAATTCAAAGGGTCTTGGTGTCTGATATGATTTCACTTCACTTCACCTAACCTCACTTTCCCTTGGCACGGTGTCCTCAGGACGACAAGGTGGAAAGGAAGATAGGTGTATACTCTAACATGCTCCAATATACTCGCTTCCATATTGAATATCTGCTTCAAATCTTTTCGAGTATTGGATTTTTGATGTTCACTTCAATTCTTTACTCTTGCTCAATCTCAAATTCCTCGATCCTCATTCCTCTGACTCTCACGAAGTAGATCTCTTTTCTTCCCTCAAGAATTATAGGACTTCTTTATCTATATCTTAAAAGTTAGCCAAATCGAAGAAAAACATACACATAACTAATCACTCAACGGATCCAGCCAGGGAGATAGCAGGATATCATATAAACCAGCGAATGCACTTATACCATATCCACAGCTACAGTTATGATCGCAAATGTCACTACACAAATCAAGATTCTCTGACACCAAAACAAAACGGGTATAATTAACTGAAAACTAAACATGCACATAATCCTCTGTATCCCACCGATCCACTCGATTTCCATTATCATTAGCATCCCCAACACCATCCTCCTATCCCATGAAACCCAAGACGAAACCATCAATCCAACATCCTATTACTACCGATTCAAACTTAACAGTCCCTCGATATACCTCTTCGTATCTAACCCTAATCCCGCAGCTCCCCATCCCGCATCCGCCGTACCTCCTGTCCCTGTTCCTTGACCACCCATTCCCCACCCCGCATACCCATATCCGTAACCTCTCCCTTGTCCCGCTCCCACATAATCACTCGCCCTCCTAATGAGAAAAATCTCTTTATCCATATTTCTCTCCTCTGCCTCTCCCTCAGCATCACCCTCATCCAAAAACGGATGTGCAGGCCCACTAATCACTGTACTCTGTGTTTGCGCGTTACTGTTCGCTTTGATGCTCGCATCCAAACCTTTATTCTTTCTTCCCTTATCACTCAATTCCACCATAAAAGTTTTACTCGTTTGACTTTCCGCTGAGTTCTCGGGTATCAGTGGCGGAATTTTCACTTTCGAAGTCGGATTTGTGATTGACTCGGGGGGTGCAGGGGGAGGTGCGGGAATGCGAGTCCAAAGAATCCAATAACCTCTTGATGTTTTAGCCGTACGTTCCAATGTATTCTTATCAGTAGTCGTAGAAATATATGTATGCATAATTTGTAGATGTGTATTGAGCGCTTCAATTCGAGACCAAGGGAGACTATCCGCTTGTTCTTGTGTTTGAACTTGTTGAGGATCGGGTATATTAGGAATATTTGAGTCAAGAGTTAAATTTTTGGGATCCCAGAGAAGATCATATATGGGAGCTGTTGGATTCTTCGTATTTGCAAGAGGAGAAATGGGAACTTCTGGTTTGGGAGCTCGGAAAGATGTGGATTTGAGAAGAGGTTTGATGAGAGACTGGAGCTGTTTATGAAGAGAACTGTATAAGCCCTTCAAAGCTAGGGTATCTGCTCGTAATTCGAAAAGGAAAATGAAAATGAATGGTTTGCTTGCATAAGCCACGACTCTTAGCTTTTTAGCTTTGTTTCGATCCTGACTCTCAAATGAAGTATTAGAATGGCCTGTACCTTCCGAACCGCTGGCGTTTTTGAATGATGTGCCAAAATTGGAATAATCAATACTGATATCTGCTTCCTGGCGAGCATCTTCTTCGCGTTCCAATTCTACTGTTAAAGTACGGAGTACAAGTCGATGGGTTTGACCCTCAAGATCTTCGTCCTCATCGTTAGAATCCACAAGCAAAGTCGTTTCACTCTCCATATCACCCATTAGACCTACTAAATAGTGCCCTTTAGAATCATCGGACTCCTGTATGGATGTTGATGTTCCAGTTGTATTCGCAATACCATCAATCGAAGAAACAAGGGTAGATGTTTTACTCGAAGGTCTGCTATGGTCTTCTTCTTTTGCTGCAGATCCCCCTAAAGACCAATGAGTTCCATAACCGAATTTCAAGTATTGAGCAAGCTTGTTACCCTTCGATTCACCATCTGTGCTTTCAATGCCTTCGGTACTTGTATGACAGGCATGATTCCTACGAAGCTTCGGGTATGGCGGTACTGATTTGAGTTCGGATTGATCAATTTGATCGTCTGGTTCCACTACTGGTCTAGGCTCGATCGTACTCATACTTGAAGATCGACTAGGCGCAGGTCCATCGCTAGGTCCATCATGAATTGGTATCTCTTTACTGAGACTAGATGTTGGTCGGGCAGTGTTCTTTGTGTCTCCAAGTTTTGAGTCGAGTCTTGGCCTGGGCTTAGGCTGTCTTTTTGCGCGACGGGTAGAAGAAGGGTTGTCAAGAACTCCATAGGCATATGGACCCCATCTATAGAGATCCTCAACCCAATGCGAAACATCTCTAATTGAATTCCTTGACAAAGCTCCAGTACCGAGGAAAATCGCACCATCTTCTGCCGCGGGTTCATTTCCAGAACCCAACCAAGGAGCAGGTTGCTTAGGACGATCGGTAAAGCCTTTACTGGTATCCTCTTTCGAATTAGATCGCGCGTCTCCAAATCTTGAGACTATCACATCCACAAGCCCATCCATTTGTCCAACGAATCCTTCAAGGACTTCTCTCTCACCACTGCCCCTTTCTTCCTCTCCGACTCCTACCCCAAGTTCACCGCATGCAGCAAGTTTTATTCCCCCATACAGATTGTTGGCAGGGTTTCCATGCATAAGTACATTCCATGTCGAGAGATATGTATCCCAATATCTACCTAGAATGCTCACAAATTTGGAGCGTTTCGTTCGAACAAAGAGAGCGCTCATCGAAGCAGCATGATGAAGGAGAAAAGTCGAGTGTGCTCTTAGAACGTCTGCGAGGAGTAGTATCGCAGGTTTAACTTCTCGAGAGGAATATTCGACGGTCACTTGTTCCTCGGCAGGCTTTCCTTTGGTAACTGGTGTTCTTGCTGTGCCCGGCAATATCGTGAGGTTGATCGACTATACATGTTAGCACGATGAAGAAACTCAAGGATTAAAGTTACTCACGGCCAATATCCACCAGCCAGATTCTAATTCATGAAGAATAATGCGAGATTTCTCAGTCTCTATAGTATTCACTGATTTACCCTCAGAGAAACTCCTCCCAAATTCTACCATTCCCTGAGCAAGCCCAATCTGTCTCAATTGTTCATTCTTTTGCTCCTTCGCAAAAGCGCGCGCCTCTTTCGTATTGGTAACGACACTTCTCTTGTGTTCATTTTGCTTGATCGAGGGGTAATAATAAACAATCTGATTGTCGAGTGTATCATCGGTAGACCCTAAGGAAGGATTGTAGATGGCTAGGAAGCCTAATTGCGCGGGTACTACCTTTCGGCTTTGCTCAGACATTGCATGATTGAGGTACTCAACGAGAGAAACACGAGGATATAAATATAATGTAGATCATTTATTGATTGAATCGCGCCGGTCAGTTCTTAAATTGGTGTGGAAGCAAATGTCCGGCTATGGGGAAGGTTAACGTTTTAGGTGATGTAATTCGTGGGCCAAATGCATGGCACAGAACATGAGGCCGGCTTACATAAGATATCTAGAGTTGTCTGCACGTGATGCGAAAATATCAAGACAGTGGAAGCAGCTCGAGAATCGTAATTGTAAGAAGTCGTCGGTTTAACATTGACAATCATCCATGTATAGCGTAAATTGAACTCGTTCTGACTGCAATTTTCCACAATCATGAAGCTCAAAGCCAGAACATCTCTAGCTGTACTAGGACGGATTGCACACCCATCGAAGCCATTTTCAATCCATGGATTCCATTCTCGACTCTTCACAATCAACAGTATCTCAAAACCCTCAAAACTTTCAGCACCTTTGAGAATTCTGTTTTGTGGTTCTGATGAGTTTAGTTGTGAATCTCTTCGGTCATTGGAAGCAGAGAAAAGGTCAGATCCAAAAGGAATTGCTTCTATAGATGTTCTCGTCCGACCAGGTAAAAAAACTGGAAGAGGTATGAAAGAGACTCGTGAAGGTAAGCTTCGTATTTTGTCTTCGGCTCTTCGTTATACATGCTGATGATTGTCAGTGCCGCTGAAGAAATTGGCCAAAGAATTGAACCTCCGCATACACGAGAGAGATACATTCACCGGCTGGGATGTAAGTTTTGACTTTCGGATCTGCACTTCATTCTTTAAAAACCTCGACTGATGATCAAATTCATAGCTACCAAAACCAAATGGAGAACCAATCAATCTTGTCGTAGCAGTTTCATTTGGCCTCTTCGTTCCACCACGCATTCTCAACAGTGCTGAATACGGCGGAATTAATGTTCATCCTTCACTTCTGCCACAGTAAATTCTTCCAACGCCACTTATATATACCTAGGCTAACCATGATATATAGATATCGAGGATCTGCTCCACTCCACCATACTATCATGAATGGAGACACAATTACTGGTGTCTCGCTTCAAACCTTAGATCCACACAAATTTGATCATGGCGCCATTCTCTGTCAAGAAGGTTTTCCCATTCCACAATCTCAAACAATAAAGTATCAAGGTCTTCTAGACTTGGTCACACCTAAGGCGGCGAGCTTGCTTGCAAAGGGTATCAGAGATCGAGTCTTCATAAACCCAGAACCAGACCAAGGACTCAAACTCGCACACAAGATCAAACCAATTGATAGATTCATTGATTTTGAGGAGGGATTATCTATCAATGTTGAACGAAAGTTCCGAGCGCTGGGACGACTTTGGTGCTATACGCGTACTTGGTGGTCTGGAAAGAACAAAAAGAGGACAATGTTTGAAGATTTTGAGGTTGTCCCAATGCCAAAGCAATCTGGCGTGATTCCAGAACAGGTGCTTTTGACATTACCAAAGTGGGAGTACTTCTGTACTCGGGTGTACGAGGATCCTACTCATCCAGGATCTATCATTATTCCCACGGTTGAAGGTGTAGGGCTTCGAGTTAAACATATTCTCGTAGAAGGTCAGGTGGTGGGTTCAGCCATTGATGTCATGCATAAAGTATCAGCTTTTACCAAACATCCAGACGATGACAAGGATTTGTTCATGGCTGTAGCATTGACAGATGTGTCGGAGGATGGTAAATTGGTTTTGCGCGAAGGTAAGGGCACCGAGTATGCAGCGAAGCACCTGGTCCTACCAAAGGTGCTAAAGATCAACAGGGCGCGCCACATTGACCCTTACCCCAAGAATCTAAGCCCTCTGGATTGAAATATAATTATCTAGATGCATAATAGAATAACAATTCAAGCAAAAAACCCTGAAATCCGATGGCATGGAGTGTATCATATCCTGCTTCGGGAGTTGGAGGTAACTATCTGACCCGCGGAAGATAGGTGGCTGGGTTAGAATACCTTCGAAGCTTTGGGAAGATGGGGAAAAAGTTGATTTTTATAGCATTCGAGAAGCTTGAATTATCTGACAAATATCGAAAGGGCACAAGGTCGGCAAATGTGCAATATTAGAAGGCAGGGAGGAGAAAGTCCAAATATCCGGTGTAGTCCAGAGACAAACCAACACATTGCCGAGAGCGAGATGAGTGTATCAGTCCTTGTCCGATACTTTCTAGAAACAAGAAATATCGGTACGCAAGGCTAAGGAAGAACAGTAATGTCCCATCTGTTCTAGTGAGGAGTGAAAGATTCTCTTTTGCTGAAATCGAGGATTGTTGCTCGATCAATATCTGACAAGCACCAGAAAAATGAATCCTTCATGTACCGAGAATAGGGTGAAGCAATGGCTAAAGCGTATTCGTTTCGAGGGATGTAGGAGAAAAGTTCATTTGTTGATGACGAGATTGGACACGTAACCTTCGTTCAGTAGGTAGGCACTAAAGATGACGTTTCTTCCACTGTTGTAAGTAAACTGTAAAATAGTCCCTCCGTCTGGAACATTTGAGTCGTCTGGTGCTGCCAAAGAGGCTACTTGTTATTTCTTAGCATAAGAAGAGTAGATCAACCAGCGCACAACGGGCGTTAAAAAGAAAACGATTGCGATTGTCAAGTATAAGAGACAGAAATTGTCGATCTATCTGGTTTCTCAAAGACAGCATAAGCTCGATTGCTGAATCTTGAAGATGAATTTGCTTTGCCCAATGCAGTACTGAAAACAGAGTATCTTACATTGCTGTAACGATTTCGAGTAACGGTTGATCGTCCTGTGCTCCTAAGAGATGAAATCGTACGGTTGTTGGCAACAAGAAAATTGACTCGATTCGCGTTTGGTAGGCGGTAGAGAGAGTATATGCTTAATATCTAGATTGAGAATTGGAAACTGCTTGTCGTATAGTAGGATCCAGAGACGAAATCGTCGAGACCGCTCGAATGGCGACGAGGAGGTGAGAGCTCTGAGCCAGATCGCAAGAGGCGAGAGGCTTTTCGATAACTATGGCAACGGGAATGGCCTAAGGCTCAGCTGATGAGCCTGAGGGATGATTTATACTAGATGCTAGAAGGGAGGAGAGAATCTATTCGACTGGTTTGCTCAATTCGAGGATGATATCCTTCTTAGGACCGGAAGAAAACGAGAAAAAGGCGAAGTCCTTCTGGTGTATTCAAGACGAGCAGTTTCCAATGCCGGAGAAGGAAGTGTTGTAGTCGAGCAACATGATAGCTTCAAAGACATGATCTTTCGTGAGACTGTTCAAAGCAAGAGCAGAGCAGAATCCATCTGGCGCTTTCAAAACGAGAATAAGTCGAAGCAAGAGAGCAGAAGAGAAAATATCAGAATAGCCTAGAAAATCCAAGATGAGCCCCTTCATAGAATTGGACCAAAGTGAGAAGAGGGTAGCAACCGTCTGGTACCTTTATAGCATGAGCTACTAGATGCTTTCAAGAAAACTGGACCCAACTCGACCAAGTTGATCAGTCTTGAGGTGGAACTTGTTCCAAGACTAGTGTGACAGCAAGAATAAGGTGAAATGCGTCTGGTGCCCCAAAGCGAGAATAGTTCCTTGCCAAAACGAAGATGATGACAACATCGATTCGTTGGATATCTTCGAAAGCAGAGGTGTTTCAACGGCATGATTTAATCCGAAATTGGTCAGAAACTGTCTCTTAAATCCAAAGCGAAAGGGCTTCGGTGCTGCTAAAGATGGAGAAAGCATGTTGAATTCGTCTGGTAGCTTTGAGCGCAATATCGCTCTGATGGAAGGAGTAAGACGGGAAATGTGATAGAAATCGCCTGGTATCTCTAATGTCGATAAGGGTTCGACGGTAAAGCAAAGATAGTATCTTATTCGTGTCTAATAGGCGCCAGAGAGGAGAAACAATTGATGCCGATAGAAGGAGAATGGAAGGCTGGCACATGTGGTAGAACCAAAACCAGCACCTTTTGAATCCTTGCGATAACGTAATGAAAGCGTAAAGAGTCGTCTAGTCTCCCGTAAAGACGATCGTATGAATGCTGAAACGCAAAAGCGCCACAAGCTGCCCTGAAGTCCTGCCAGAGCTACAGAGAGGAGATGATAGTAAATAGTTCCAGCGACTGTATATTGGGCCTTCTCGGGAGTACGATAGTACAGTAGGAATTGTCGAATGACCTTGGACCGTCTTCGGGTCTTCTCGCGAGCGGAAGAACGGCGTGGTTTGTCGACTAAGAAATATGATTGCCTTGTCTAGAGAAAACTGGGCGATCTTGCGCGTTGTGTGCCTTGCGAAGAGAACCTAATCTTTCGGAAAGAGCCCTAATAAATCATAGGTAGCTCGCAAGGACCAACTTCGCACGAAGAAACATCCGCAGCTTTCTCAGTTAGACCTTGGACCGTCTTCTAGCCTTCTCGGGAGCAGAAGATCGGTAAGGATTGTCGATTAAGAGAGGAAAAGGAGAAGGGGGAAGGCGAGAAGAGATGAAAGAATCGTATTGGTCCAACAAGATTGAGACGACCTTGCGCTTAGTATGCCTTGAAAACAGACGTCTGAAGGATCGACTACGCACGAAGAATCGTCAGCAGCTCTCTTAGTTACCCAGGGACGAGGTTGCGGTATGACGGAAACCAAAGAGAGGCGAGTGATGGAACCATTTGAAATGACCTGTGACGGCCAGGCGATTGCGAGGATCGAAACGGGAAACTACCAATGTGAGGAAGTGGGATGATGAGGGTTGTCTAATTGAAATCGCTCGGCTGATCGATCGATCCCACCCTTCTTGGATTGTAAGGCAATCGGAGGATTTTCCTAAGATACTCCACATCGAACCTCATATTTCGAATCTCCATATCAGTTGGTTCCTTATATTCAAATTCTTTGATGTCGTAATATACCCCCCATTCTCTGCCAAGTTCGATTTTCGGGTAGATCCACCCTTTCCCTCCCGAAGGATCACGAGTTGCTTGCTCAATGGCTTGCGCAACTTTCTGAAAATTGGTACCATGCATAGCGTACTCAATTCCAAGTCCGCAGCCTGGACATTTTGTATACATGAATTGCATGGCACGTATCATCTCATGGGCAAGGGTCCCCAACATTTCACTTATAACTTGGCAGAAGTCCCAATTGGGGTGTAAAATGCGTCCGTCCCTGATGTATATGGTTACAGAGTTGGATCTGCCGTCCAAAGAGCCGGTAGTGAGACCCAAGTCATTATATAATTCAACCTTCTCGGCTCGAGTGCCATTGGAGACCAACTCAAGGTTGAAGATAATCTCATATTCGTCATCGGCGGAATTCTCCACGACGGAGCTTTTGACCATTCCCCCGAAGAACAAAACGTTGTAGATCTCCATAAACTTTACAAGGACAGTGCTGAGGTCTTGGTCGAACCCGATGGATTGGTACAATTGGTTGTGAATAGGGTGAGATTCGATGTCTTGTGAGCTGCTATGTACACAGTGCAAGATCATTTCAGAGACATCAGCCCAGCTATGCGATACTGGCTTCATGATATAAGTATCACCAGGATTCTCAGGGTAGACAATCGGTTCAGTGAGACTGGTTGATGGCAGGCCGCGGTTGCCAGGTTTCAGCTGAGGGTACTTCTCGTCCCACGACCCAGAAGAGGTTGTAGACCATTGGATACTCATTGCTAATAACTGTGTGATAGACCGCCTGTAATTTGTGGAGTTGATATGAGGGTTATGAGAGAAGTATTACTGTTTAAAGAAGAAGTGATCGTGGTGTGGTATGGTAGTTCTGCGTGCAAAATGGATTGATTTTGAGAATTATCTGTCAATTGCGCGTGTATCTTCAAGGTCGATTGAGAAAAGTTGGCGAAAAATTGCCTTTACTCCATGGAAAACTCTTCAAACTACAAACTGAGTACCTACACAATTGAAATTCACTTCTTAGCTCTCAATCGGGTTATTTTTGATATGGGTCTTTTCCTAGCCGCCCTAAATCAGGCTGCTTTAACGCTGCCTTGCCTTAGCTCTATTGTGTCAAGATTATAACCTCTTTGTTATGATTGAAATTGTCGAGGAAAATCTTGTTATTGGCTTTAATAGTTCATTTTAGGGTTAAATTTTGATAGTTGAGCTGTTGCTGTTGCCCCTTCGCGTAATTCGGGGGGCCATAACAACAATCATGACTTTTTTTGCTTGATTTTCAAACTCGCTTCGAGCCCCTGAGTATTTTGATTAACTTCTTGGAACCAATCCATATTCTTTGTTTTGTAAAAACATAGATAGTTAAACATAACGTAACTTGACTAGAAGTGGGTCATGTCATGATATAGGTCAAAATCACTCCCTCATTTCTTTATTTTATATGTTTATTCAATACACAATGGATCGAAAATCATTAAATCGTAGTGAATCAGAAGATAATATTCAAAAGACTATAGAAAGTCTAAAAAATAAATAATTTACTTTAATTCGAAGTACTATTATTTATTTTAAGATTTCGAAGTCAACCTTGATAAATTGAATGGCTGGACAATAATCACGCTTTCAATCTCACAAATCCTTTCAAAAACTTTTTAACATGGAAAAGAAGACTCTAATACAATAGATCTCACGATTAACAACTACTAAATACCCTACAACTCCTAAATTGTTGAAAGAAATAACCCAAATTTTTTTAAATCAACACATCATTTTCGCGTCACCATCTACCCCTCCATCCTTTTAATCAAATCATATAGATCAACAATAAATCTATAAGTTTTTAAATCGATATCTCAAACTTAAAAAAACCTATTCTTATAAATTGAAATCTACAAGATATAAAGAAACCACATTTGAAACAATTTCAACATGATTTTCAACATTTCAAGTATAAATCGAAGAACGACATTATGAATTCAAAAATATATATAATATGGATGAAATAGGATATATAGTTGGAAAAACAGAATCAACATGTATAATTATGGATTCTACTCTTAAATCGAATTAAAAGGTTACAACAAAAAAACAAAAATAAATAATTATATTGAAATGTATAAATACAAATAAAGACTTTTTGTCTTTTATAATCATTTTCAAGGCTCAGAATACCAACACTACATAAATTCCAACTAACACTCCTCCAAACTGATATTTCTTAACAAACAATAGTAAATGGACTTCTAATAGTTATAACTTTAAATAAATATATAAGGTTTTTAAACCAAAATTTCAAAAAATATTAGAAGATCAGCCTCGATTATTAATTATGAATAGTCATTCTAGTTATATTACAGAAAGTTTGATTACTTTCTGTATTGAGAAGAAGATTGATTTTCTTATTCTACTACCTTATTGCTTGTATCTACTTTAGTTATTGGATATTGAAGTGTATAGATCGATAAAGCGATATCATACTCAAGAAGTTGATCAATACTCTTGAGTAGGAATATAACGAATACAATGATCTAATTGGGTACAGCTTTTTCAAAAGATAAGAGAAAAAGGTCTTACTTATCAAAATATCAAAAGCGGATAAAAAGGAGCAGGTTTGAATTCATTTAGTCCTTATCAAGTTCTAAATAATCTTCCAACTCTGCTTTTACCACCACCTTTTATTCCAAATACACTAGCAAATCTAGAAGATCTACATCTTTTTTTATTTAATAGCTCTCCCCCGAATAATATTAAACTACAATAAGTAAATAAGGTATTCAATTCAGCTTTATTCGCTAATAATCTGCCTACTTCTTTAATACAAAGATATACAAAGCGAATAACTTATCAGATTGAAAGCTTAAATACTGAAAATGCTATTCTTCGAAAGGAACTTTAAGAATATAAAGAGTTATTTAAAACATAAAAGAAACAAAAAAATGAAAAGAGAATAAAATTAAAAGGTGAATTTGTATTTAATACTAAAGAAGTATTGAAAATTATCGAGGAGGCTGAACAAACACCCTTATCAAAACAACGATATAGTAGATTATTTAAGTGTCAAATTGATTAGATAGAAAGGGAGATAGAAAAGGAAGAGGATAGTGATAATTCAATTGGATTAATAATAGTTATAGATCACTCTGTAGCATATAGGACAAGGTCAAATAGGAAAATATGATTTTTGTGACCTATATCATGACATGACCCACTTCTAGTCAAGTTACGTTATAATTTATCAAGAATTTTACCCCACAATGCATTGTTATTAGACAGACTTGAGATGTAGAAGTCAGTCTTTCTTGGATTGAATCTTACTCTTACGATAAGGCATCTCTTCGTATATTTGAGAATGACTCAATGGCTGAGCCACTATTAGAGGCTTGAATAATCTTTTTTTTACAGTTGATTGCGTCTCCACTGTTTGTGAGGGCGCTGAAGATACCAGTAAAAGTGTTGGGCCTGGCTGGGAATAAAATGAGAACATGCCATCAACATAGTGAATTGACTGCGGGAACCTCCATCCTTATCAAAGGCAGCAGGTGGTACAGTCAAGCTTTCTTATGGTTGGTTAGTACAATGATTGAATTGAATTTGTCAAGTAACCAGCCTTTTTTCGTAAAAAGATCTCTAATAAGAAATGACAATTGCCGGCTAGGTGCGGCAGTAAAAAGTCCACATGTGACTTATAAGAAGTGCATAGGTAGCTCTCAATATTTGGTAACGTGTTCTTGCTCTCACCTCGCATGTCAATTTCGCGCTTTTAGCCTCATTCACACTTCCCATAAAAGTCATAATAGAAGTTTTATCTTTCTGCGTCTAGATCAAACGCTATGCGCCGAATGCAGTATATAATCTGAGCAGGTTCTAGCATCGTAGGCTGATTACAATAGAATTCCTTGATTCGAAGGACTATATATATCTATTTACGGATCGGGAAGAGGTCAGAATTCAGAATTCATCAGCGGAAGCCACTTGTGGGGTCTGCGTGTCCGCGAACATCGAGGAGCAAGTTAGAATTGAACAGTATCTATGATTCAGATTTGAAAGGATTGGGTCAAAGCTTCAGAATTGAAGATCTTAATGCCAGATTTAGTAATACACAAGCTTGAAAGGAATAAATCTACAACAAATCGAAATTTCTACTGCATTTGCTCATGTTTGAGAAGCCCTGACCAAGAAATGACAGACCCTGATGAAAAAAGCCGAACCACGGCAGGATCTGGCACATATTCAGAGAGCAAAATTCCCACAACATTGAGGAACCTTTTCAAGCCTGATGACGTTTGGATACTTGAAAAGTGTATGTTGAAAAACAGTTACGCAGCAGTAATCTAGCATAGAGTATATTGCAGAGCTTTTAAACCTCTAAACAAAGTTACATTTTTCTATTGAACACCCGGCTTTGGGTCTTCAGTGTTGCGAAATGAGAACACGCCAATATGCGTGCAGGTGATCTTTTGCATCCAGGGCTTTAGACATAAACCCAGTAGCATTTCATTTGACCAACAAACATGCAAAATAGGCGCATAAATGGGAGCAAAGTTCAATTGGTCAAAATCTATACTGAAAGGGCAGATTGCCCAGATCTTCATTATAACTCTGATGCACCAGGGGTGATGGTTCTCGAGGTTCTCTGACTGCATGTGTAAGATGTGAGTTCAAATCTGACTGTTCCCAGATCATCAATATTTTACCAATCTCTTCTTCTTGACAATTGATCCTTTTGTTATTTTCGACGATTGGAGATGAGATGCGGAGATGCCATCTCATTTGTGGGACTCATATTGCAAACACCCGCCCGCGCCTCATCAACCAATCATCTTCATTATGTCTTCACCAAGAAAGCCGAAGCATTGCTTGCAGAATATTGAGTGAGACCCTCTTCAACGCAGGCAACTATGTTTGTTTGTAAATCACATTTTGGTCATCACATCAATTCCAACCATTCTATCCGATTGCGGGGGACATGCAGATATCCTTTTTTCAATGCAACAAGCCTCCTTATTCCCACACACTCACTTCAGCTCCACCTGTTATCACCTTGTCCTTACTAATTTCTGGTCAATGACACAATACTGCCATTCCAGTATCAACATGAGTAGAATTTGCTCAGAAAGGGAAACAACGAAAGGAAAAATGTATTATATTGGCAGAACGCACACATTAAACACCCGAGCCTAGACAGGCACCAGCGCCGGAGTATCATAAATCCACGATGATAGATGATGGAAGGTGAGAGCGCATCAATGTGAGATAATCAAGCCTGATTTTTGTGAGTTCGAAGCACGGTGTTCTCAATTTTTAGGTATCTTTCATTCAAGGTTGACTCGCCTATTCCTTCGTTTTGAATGTAAGAACATATCCTTTGGTGCTGAAGCAAATCTCTTAAAGAAGATAGCAGTATACAGATATCAGCTAACTACCTTTTTGTCTCGATTCTATTTATCAAATCAACAGCACTCTAGTTGAACCAGCACAAAGATGACAAGATTACGAGAGATGTGCGAGATGCAACTTCGAGCCTTACTGACTCCATTTTTTAAAAGGCCCACATATCTAAGTAGCTATGCCATTGAATCTCATAAATGATTGGAGACGCTAGGGTGTAATAGCATTTCTTTCTATTCCAAAAAGTAAGTTGTAATTTTCTGGACACAAAGACGTGGATTGCTAATAAGAGCACCTAGATATTCATCCACCCTGCAGCGAGCCTCTGAACCTACAAGCTAACGTTTACAAACGCAAAACCAAATGAGAAGAAATTAGGACAGTCAAAACCCGACACATTCAAAACGCAAAATGTGGTCGAGTGTTTGGAAGCTCAGAGCACTGCTCGAATACGACCAAAGATTTATGAGTTTGCGAATTTTGAGTAGACTACATTGAAGTTATCACGACTAATGTGTCCGAATCATGTTATTGACCGAATAATAGAGCATTTGCAGCGAATGTCAGCTTACAAACTATCAAAAGGTCGATCGCCATAGTATCCCAGTCGAATGGGCAGTGACAAACAGAACCTCGCTGTGCCTGCAGCATCTCTCCTCCAAGTTATAGTCGGATCTCACAAATACCTAGTCTTTCAAAATGAAATGCCAAGTATATCTATTAAACTGTCATCTCTCTTCCCATATTTAAAATTGTTGAATTCTTGATGATACGGACACTTGCCCGTAAGTTTGGTTTGCATCACTTGATTTCTCCGGGCATCAAACACGTTCACCAACGAGAGTGAGGAGGCCAGTTGCACTCTTTTTGGGCAAATAAACAAGAACGCTTGTCTAGTGTAAGCTAAGCTTATTTTCTCCACTCTCAAAGGTCAATCTCATTCATAAGAGAAAAAACCCCCTTAATCAAGTCCTACGAAGTGTGACTCCACTCTAAGGAGCCAACGCGCATCAATAAATCAAGATTAATTCATTGACGTCAATAGTCAAAGTATGAACATGATCTTGGTTGATATAGGGTTTCCGCATTATAGCTTGAGGAGAGAACACTTAATCTCGACCTCAGCCAGTCCCTGAGCCTGACCATGAGCTGGGAAGATGAGCTCAAGTTTTAATCTGCCGAAAACTTCACATGTCGCTTCGGTTTATATCTTGCGAAATTTTAATTGTTCGTGATGGCACCTAGAACCTAGAATAAATAATCTTGCTATGTGAATCGAGGCTTGAGGCTGCGGGAACATGACTATTAATTTGAAAATAACAACCCAAGAATGAGAAGTTTCTTGGGCCAATTATGACTTCCCAACCTGCAATTTTTGGTAAGCTTACAATTTATTTCTCATCTGGGTAGGAAGCCTGCTTGCAGTTGAGATAGGTCGATAGATGCGACTGGTATTTGTACTTCAGATCAGGAAAAACAATCCCAGCTGGCTTCCAAAATGAGTCTATTAATTACATCTTCATAAACGTCGATGCCGACTCCCCATCATATCGAATCAAAGGGGCCGTAGCTTAGTGATAAAGCAATGCAGTATGATTCGTATCAGGGTGCCTCGCTCCCCCGGGCGGGAATCTACCGGTCGTCCTAAGATGATTACTGAAATAAGATCGGTGGTTCGAATCCGTCCGGTTCCATATATTTTTGATACTTTTCCTTCTCTCTGTAGCTTATGATACTTAAATCGTGTAAAACTAGAAGTTTCATTCCATGACTGGCTGTTTTAGAATGAGGTTCGGTGTTTGTTATATTTTCTTTCACAACGAAAGGTTCTCACCTCCCGACGATGAAAGTGGCCTCTTTCGCAATTGACTAAATTTACATACTTGAAAAAAAGAGGCAAATTGAGGAGATTGTGATGTGTGCATATCTTGGGATATTATCGATTCGATACTATCTTACCCTGTATCATTGCCACTTTTGCTTTCCGTGATCGTATTTTGGCAAATTATTGACCACTTGTGATGTATGATGATTGGAAAGGTGGAAGAGAGGAATATTTGTGAGCACAATCAAAACTAAGATAGATTTGATCGTAGCCAGTCTTTCCAACTATTTGCAAGGTTGACTTATCATCTTCCTCAAGTGCCTAGTCAATTTCAACCATCTCTCAGATGAAGTCACCGGAGAATGAGGTAGAGAAAGTTCAAGGATAATGGTTTCTACAATCGTTTTGTCTTGTTAAACTCTTTCGAATCCTTCAACAGACCAAAGAATTACCTTCCTGTGTGATCTTACATCTTGAGTTCAATCAAGTAAAGATACGAATTTGTCTCTGACTCTGAGAACTAAGATCAGAAAGAAACATAAGGCCTGATCACTATTCTAAAATAGGGAAGGCTCTGTCTCACTCCACGTCAATCACAAAAAAAGCTTTGGACAAGAGAATTTTAAAATGAGAAGAATTGAACTTCGGTCTTACACACCCATGTTAGAAAGATCTCAAAGCCAAATGGACAAGAATCTCGAAGTCGCTGACTTGCTGCCGCCTATGGAGACCACTCCAAAGATTGAGATTTCCTGGATCTTTCACACTTTGAGGTGTACATTCCACCACTGAATACATTTCCATGGTCTTCTGCTGGATGAGTATGCTGTCAACATTTCGGCTTTGTAGGGTAATCGGGGAGGTTGATGTAATTAGTGAAAGTGAAAAGAAGGAAAGACAAAAATGAAAAGAGTTTTGAAATTTTCCGCATAGAAAAAAGCGAAGAACGAAGCCCGTAAAACTCGCCACAAGCTTCCTCACTTCCAGGAACAGAAGCACTTACTCGCCTAGCAAATCCAACAAAGAAAACCCAAACCCGCAAAAAAAAAAAGAGGTGGTGAGATTCGAACTCACGGCTCGCTCACTCTTGGTAGATTATTCTAATGCAATTCCTGGTTCCATTCTAGAATCAATAGAATTGCCCAATTCATTGCCTTCTTATAGTTGCTTCATGTCAATAAGAGACTCAGATTGGGGTCTGATCACACCTTGAAGAGCGTATTCTACTACTGAACTACACCTCCAGTATTATTTTGGTAGGATGTCGCTAGTTTAAGAATTTGTTGCTAGAATCCACTTGATGTAAGGGATCACCAGAATCCTTAGGAATAAGATACAAAATGTCAAGATATTGAGATAGTCGATTTGCTTGCTGCTCATGGGAATAATATTGAGGGGTGATATATAAAGAACGGAAGACACAGAACAGTATCGCATTGATACTATACACCCACCTCATACAGATGCAGCTGCTCAAGCCATAAAACAGGCCACCCTATATCAGATTCCTCTTATCACTCGCTGCAACCACAACGGCATCCACCATTTCCTTCTCTTTCGTAATAAAAACACTATGACAAGTCTCATAATCCTTCGTCTTAATCACGACCCCCTCACTCTTTACCTTCTCAAGCATAAGATCCTGATACAGTCTTGGCACTGAATAATCCTGCTGCGTCAAAATATACGTAACAGGAACTCTCCTCCACGCATCTCCCTTTGACTTCGCCTCAAACGCCGACATTGGAGACCTCACCAGATTCGACAGTGCTTTATCAACAATATCCTGTTCTACACTGCCAAGGAACAAGAGAGATGGATCGACGGGGAATGTCGACCCATCATCAAAATTCTGGATAAATTGAGGCCAGAGTTCGGCAAAGCCTGCTTCTGTACAGATGTTCTAGATTGATGTTCCAGGGACAACAATGTAGGCGCACATGTGGAAAAGATGGATGACTCCTCCGGATTCTCCTTCAGCTTTGCGATCGGCGAATGTTAGACCTTCGACGGCGTTGGTACCGACTGCTCCGCCGTAGGAATGCATAAATCAGGTACCCTACTTTTGGACCACCTTTATTTTAGACTATTCTTTATTATTAAAAATCTCAAAAAATAGAATTTTTAACTTTTTTATTTATAAATAGAATTTATTGAAAATTTATATATATAATTCAGATTGTTTTGAATCTAATTTGAAAATTTTAGATTTTTAGGATTTTTTTGTATTAAGATTTAAAGCTTTAAAATATTAATTTTTTAATTTATATAAGAATTATATATAAATTTAAAACTTTTATAAAATCTTTAATAACTTTTTAATAATAATTATTAAAAGAAAATTATATATCTTTTTGAAAGTTTTGAGCTTAAATTTATATAAAAATTCAAAAAAAATTTCAAAAAAATTAATAAATATAAAGATATAATACATAATAAGTTTGAAATAGTATAAATAATCTCTACAATTTTAAGGATATTCTTTTAAATATTTATTTATAGGAAATTTTCTTTTTTTTCTGAATCCTTCAAAATAAATATATTATAAATATATAATAAAATTTTATAATTTAGTTTTAATAATTTTTATTAAAAAGTTATTAAAGATTTTATACAAGTTTTAAATTTATATATAATTCTTATATAAATTTAAAAATCGATATTTTGAAGCTTTAAATCTTAATACCAAAAAATCCTAAAAATCTAAAATTTTCAAATTAGATTCAAAACGATTTGAATTATATTTATACAAATTTTCAATAAATTCTATTTATAAATAAGAAAGTTAAAAATTCCATTTTTAATATAAAAAGTGGCCCAAAAGGGAAGTGGCCCGAAAGTAGGGTACCCGACTTAACCATTAAAACTCGCTCGTCAGCTTCGACGAGGGATTTCACAACATTGCGGACAGCAGTGACGTCTTCTGTAAATGAAGAAACAGGAGGAGATTTGTTGTTGCATGAAGGAAGCTGTGGACAAAGGACCTTGAATCCTTGTGCTTCTAAAGCGTCGCTGTAGCTCTTGTAGTTGGCAGGGGTATGCCAGGCGCCTTGCACTAGGACGATTGTAGGTAAAGAGGCTGCCATGGCAGTTTTTATCCACAATAGATTTAGATATAAGAGGTTTAGAAAATGTGATGAACTTCAATCAAAGAATTAATATCTCAGGAAAAATCACAAATTATAGTTTTCAGAGGAATAGAGATATGGCAAACAGGAGGACAGACTAGTTTTTATACTGTGCCAATTGCGTCCAACAAGTTACGCGAGTGATGCTAATCCGCTAGAAATCAACATTTGGACTCGAGATGCATGAGACTAACATAACTTACCAACAAGCAGCTCCACTACTCATCGTACAAATAATTGATCCATCATCTTAACTAACCAGTCTCGAAAATATATGCATGAACTAAAACAAAGAATCCCAGAAAAACGCAGTCAGACGCTGCAATCACACAAATGATCCCGAATAATTACATTGGGACCAATCGAATAGTGTAGAGAAACAGTATCGGAACTTCCCCCTCGGGTCGCAACCAACCAAAAACCGTTTTGAACATTGATAAATTTTACACTGAAATCTCATCAAACACACACAAAGCTCGAAATGGGATACTGAATTATCTGATGTTCTTATGTTTGTGAATGCACTTTTTTCAATTTGAGTTTGATGACCATTCTCATCAACGTAGCAAATACACAATCCGTCTTCATCTTATCGACCGTGCCCCTTTAAATATCTTCTGGACACCCGAGGGTCCCATAACAATTTCCTCTAGCTCGACATCCTCACGAGAGTCTTGTATCTCACTATAATTTCCATACAAACAAGCCTTTTTGCTTCTTGCTCTCGCAGTCAAATCACTCGTTGTCTCAGCGCCTCTAAACGTGTGGCCTACCAAAAGTCCCCTAGAAAGGACAGCAAGTGAGCTTGACTTCCAAGCAGGAGTTCCACGGAGTCTCGTCTGATAGATTGTAAGGACGATGAAAATAGTAGCGGCAATGATGAAGAAACAGTGCAATGATATCCATTCCCATTCAATCTTATAAAAGGTCACTGTTTCATAAACTGTACCTGCTTGTACTTTTGCGCCATCGTCGTTAGCGCGGATGGAGTTGCTCATACTTTTTGCAAGAGATGCGAATGTAGCTGGGAGATCGTTGCTCGTATTGAAAGCTTGCATCGAGCTGGGCTTATATTGAAGATTGCCATCGGACATAATGTAGCCATTCAATCTTGCCTGTTGTGTCCCAGTGACATTGTGCGTGATGTTCAGGTTGATCGAAAAAAAGTCGCTGAAGTAGCTACTAACGCTATTGACAGCCGCTTGTGAGACGTTATACTTTCCACCTAGAGATAGGTCGGATCGAGGCGCCGCGGATAATTTACTGTCGAAATTAAGACTTGATACGGTCGATGAGTTAAGAACAGCAGCCCACTTCGAGCTTGTAATCTGCCATGAATCCGGATCTCGCTTCGCATTCATGATCTCGGAAATGTCTTCGGACAGAGTACCGCTGGAAATTGTAGAATTATACCGATTGACACAATAGTAAAGGCCGCATTCTCGTGCCTCGATTTCTAAGTTTGGCCACGTCTGGTTTGACCCATCTTGAGGGGGATGTACCTTGAGGAAAGTCATCGCCCATATCAAAGTATTAATGTCTTGTAGTGACACCGTCTCACTAGTGTTTCCGGTTCCAAAAGTCGTCATAAATATACCACCTGGTATTTTCAAAGATGTATATTTAGTGGTATAATTCCAACCATCAAAACCATCTATGAAAAGGCCATTGGGAAGTCGAAATGCAGTCCCCATTTCTCGGATTCCAACACCATTATCAGTTTGCAAGTCTGTGTAAAGAAAATTGTAATCTCGATATTCAACAACTTTGTCGCTGAGATCGTTGCAAACATTACAAACCGAAAGAGACTCAAATGCATCCCACGTACAGTTTCCAGAAGTGCATGTGTGAGGAAGTTGTTGAGTGGTCATTTCAATAGGCTGCGTAAGACCGTATAGGACAGCTGATTGCATGACGAAATCCGCATCAGCGAAAGCCTGTGATTTGGGCGGATCACCTATTCATGGGTCAGTGGTTTTGATCTCTTATTGGAGTTTTGGAAGGATTGAGTTTACTTGACACCATCGTGAGTTGCGTGTTGAACAATCGACCTCTAGAATAACGATCTGCTCTGGGAACTTCGGCAATTCCATGTTTTTGAGGAACATCACGTTGTTGATATTGGACAAGTTGTTGTGTGAATGGATCAACAGCCAACGCAAGAACCGTGGTGACAGCACCGATGCGTACTATGAGCCTATCCATGTGAGCATCATCTGCATCATATATGGAACGTTAAAGTTCTTACTCCCGATTTTTCCTCCATAACAGTTTGAAACTACCTAATGGCCCCCGGCTTGCAGCATCAATCTTATCGAAGTCTATTAAAAAATGCTTCTGTTCTGAGAAATGGAGCCATTTCCATTGGCTAGTGGACTCAGCAATGGGATATAGAACAAGAACTTTAGCAGCGGTTGAAAGAATAGATACTAAGGTGTTAAGTGTGATGCCATGCCAACGAAAAATCGACTTTCCATCAAACGCATACAGGAGTGCAGCTAGAGCTATGAGGCATAACGTTCCGGAAAAGAGGGAAGCAAGCTCTCGTTTCCAGGAGTGGAAGTTCCAGGAAAGCTCTCGCGACATCGATCCAAGAAATACATGAACCTTTTGCGAGACAAGAAACAAACTTCACACGAAATGAAACGTGGAAAATCCACCCTTTAAGTAAAATGTATACAGTGGGGCGGCGACTGCATCTGCATCCTTATATAGAAGATCGCTTTTCGCGATCGTGAAGGATACCCAATGGTGATTGAGATAGATCACATTATCGCCATTTCTTGGCACGGGGCTGATATCTCTAGAGACATATGCTTGATTTAATCCAAAGTTGACTGCCAGCTGCTGGACCACTGGTATCGTGGTAACGGGGAATTACAGGCCCTGGTTCTTCCAGCGGCAAATGTAATGTCATTCTGTGGAGGATCCGCAATCAAGTTTGAGGATTTTGTACGTACATCAAATATATCTGTTCTAGCGGTGCATTATTGTACGACAGGCTCCGTTTGAAACCCTTGTATAAGCTTATGTAACCTCAACCAATTCACTTAAATATAGACCAGCCTCATATAAGATGTACGTACAACGGCAATACCTTGATCACGTTCAATAACCTAGATAGTTACAATGTTTTGAGATTGATCTGATCATTCAGATGCACTCGTCATTCAAGCCAAATAGGTGTGGGGTTTAAGTGTTCAAATCGCAATTTACAATGGTAAAAGGTGGAGGAGGTTGAAAATGTGAAATATTTCTTCATTCATCTATTCATTCCACGCGCCTTATAACTGCCAGTCTTTTGATATCATTTCTTCACTTCCTCTATCTCATTTCATAAGTTCACTTCGTCTTTCCAGTAGGGATACCGAACATCACGGCTGGCTTTCCATCCTTGGCCGCTTTATCAACTCTGAAATACCCCTTTCTCTCCAATTGAATAATGTCATCTTCTTTGAGATCGGCCACATTGCTATCGCATAGCTGATCTATCTTATGAGCGGAATCTGGTGTGAGGAAATCCTCCCAGTTATCATCTTCGTCCAATTTGTCCTTAGTAATCATGTAGTCGAATTCGTAGACCTCTGCTGGAACAAGGGTCTGGTCTGACGATAGCCAGGTGACTTTCTTCTCGGTTTTCTTGACATCACCCTCCAAGTGCAATTCCAGCTCAATATCTGTAATTGGACCAGAACCGTTAATCTTGCGCACGAATGCATTACCCCAGTTCATCAGAGTAATTTCTTCGCCTTCTTTAAATAAATTGACATCCTCTTGATCAAGAATGAGGTTTTTGCTATATGTAACCTTCTTCATTCCGACCTTGGGGTTCTTTCCATGCTTAGGCTTGTCTTCGGTGTATGGAGACTCTGGACCATTGGTGACAACTGCCTTTACTTGATCCTTGATATCGACACCTGTGTGTCTTGGTGCAATTGGATCAATTTCCTTCTTGTTTGAGGCCCAGAAATTGGTCCAATCCATGGTTACAATATTTCTACTTGGTCCCTGCTTCAAGATGAAATCTCTCAAAGCGGGAATTGTCATACCCCTTCTTCGAACTCCACGGATTGTAGGCATACGAGGATCATCCCAACCCCACACTCTTCCAGCATCAACCATCTTAGCCAATTTACGTTTTGAGAGGAAAACACGAACGAAGTTCATGCGAGCAAATTCCCACATGTGTACTGGTGTAAGGTTCAACTTGGTAATAAACCATTGATATTGAGGATTTCTGTCGTTGTACTCTGTTGTTCTCAAGGCGTGTGTGACTCCTTCGAGAGAATCGACAATTGGGCATGCGAAATCATAGGTAGGATACATTTTCCAAGTAGTACCGGTGCGATGATGGGGCAAGGGGCCACCAGTCTCGGGATCGTCGTTGGGGCATCGGTAGATAACAGGATCGCGCATTGCCTTATTTGGGTTGTCTACAGACATCTTTGCTCGAATACAGAACTTCTTTCCTGCCTCTGTGCCGTTCTTCATCTCTTCGAATATGGCGAGATTATCCTCAACACTCTTGTCTCTATTCTTGCTTGCAATACCATCCATTCGTTGTTCCCTCATAGTCTGCTGGTCTGTGTCATCTGCGTAAGCGTTACCATCTTTGATGATTCTCAGACCATATTTATATAACTCTTCAAAGTAATCGCTAGTATGACTCTTCTTGTCTGGTTTAACGCCCATAAGTGCTAAATCTTCGATAATTGAATCTTGGAATTCTTGCTTCTCTTTTGAAGGGTTGGTGTCGTCGAATCGGAGGAGAAGTGTGCCCTTGTAAAGCTCGTGTGCAAAATAGTCATTTAGAAGTGCAGCCTTTGCGTGACCGATGTGAAGATATCCACTAAACAATGTTAGTCCCATAACTTTGAGGCGCAAGTGATTCGGTTGGCATACGATGGCTCTGGTGGAAATCTAGTCACAACACCCTTCTCAGTATTAGGCAAAGCTAT